TTTCTTCTCCAAGTTCAACTTCCTCTCTAAGTTATTACTCCTCTCCAAGTCATTGTATCATATATATACCTTTGTTCTCTATATAATAAGGCACATCAATTCCTCTCTCTTTCTCTTTATTCTCTTTTCATTCTATAACACGTTATCAACACGAATAGTTCTAGCCACTGAATAAACCCTAGCTTTTATCCGATCCAAAACCGAGGTACATGAATTATCTTTGTGATTCGATTGATATCATACAAATCTATGCTTGTTAATCGAATAACACAAACTATGCATATTGATTATTTTATTATTTTGTCACATGTTTGTTTCATTTGCTTCATTACTGTTAATCATAATCGTGTAAATATGATACAACACCTAGTATTATTTTAATGTTAATGTTATCGGTTGCAAGTATATAAAATTTGATTCAATCTGTTTTATCATTTTTTTTATAGATCTTTTATATATGAGTTAATTTGATTGATAGCATACACTCTGTTGATTGAATTTAATACTCACGACACATGCTTATTATGTTAATTATTTGATTTATTGTTTTGATAAAATATTGATTCAATCTGTTTCATCGTTTTCAATTATATTTTTCCTTTTTGTTTTATATGAGTTTGACTTGCGCCTGTTAATTTAAATCTTGATAGTATACATGCGGCTAATGATAATCAAATAATACTCATGGTTTGATAGAATATAAAGTATATAAAAAAAATCGATTGAATTTGTATTTAATTATGCTTCTTCTGTTTTGTTTTATATGAGTTGACTTATGGCTTCTTAATCGAGTTTTTGATAATATTTAGAAGTCTGCTGTTTCTATTCATCAAATAATAATTTGTGCATCATGTTTTCGAAAATCAGCTATACTACTTTAATACTTGGTTATTAATTGAAAATTTGATATCATACTCACCACTTCTATTCATCGTCTTGATAATGAATCTGTAAATCTGTATCACTTGTCTTAGAAAATTAAATTAAATTAATATGATTCATCGTCTAGGATTATTTTAGAATCTGTCGTTAATGAGTTGACATGTGTTTTCGTTAGATCTGCTTTATATGATTCAATCAATATGTGTTTTGGTATTTTATTTGATTATTAAAATTTTGATAGAATACACATGTCTGCTTCTGGAATTCTCATAAATCATGGTTACAATAAGATCAACACATATTGATTATTTTATTATTTGGTTTATTGCTATATTGATTCATAATAGAGATTTAGATGCATACTGTATCATGAAATCATATAGCTGTTACACAATAAGAGATTTATTGCTATATCATGCCTTCTCGCCTAATTTAATAGTTCGTATAACGTCTTATAATAATTTAATATTGATCAGTTGTTTTAGCAAAGCATATAGTATAATTTGATTTACGATTTGCGGATCGGTTTCGAACACATATCTACTGGTGAGCCTCCCAATTCTGTCGCCATCATATTCGGGTTTCGTGGCGATTCCTATGGCTCCAATTGTCGTTCCTGTTTTGGAACAGCCGTCGCTGGGGTAATGTCACTTCCGACATATCTTTGCATTAAAAAAAAAAATTAAATGATCATTTGATATGAAATCAAACATAAATATTTATGTCTATGATAGCTTCGTAGGAGATGTCAGAGAAATAAAGGGCGGGGATAATATGGTACGACCAATATTTTCTGGATGTTAGTATGATCAATAGTCGATCCCCAAGAAAATTGGATTACGAGAATACTTTCTCTATGCACAACCCAAACAACGTGAGTGGAGATACACAATTGTTTAAGAAGGAGATGGAGGATTTCCTCTACAAGCTTATTGTGAAAGCCGCCCGTCTACCAAATAATGACGGCGAAGATATTATAAGTTATGCAGCAGAGGAGAAGAGGCTTGGGACAAAGGAAGTATATGCAATGATGCAGTGTGCGAAAGACATAGCCTACTGTTCGGATTGTTGGAAATGGACTACAAGGGAGCTTTTTAAGTGTTGTAGCAATAAACAAGGAGCGAGGGTTCTGACTACGACATGTAATTTGAGGTATGAGCTTTACCCTTTTCTTAGGGCTTAACCGTTCATAATGTTGGAGATATTCTCTTGACGA